GGGACACACGGTTCTTGCCCACTCGCAGTGACGAAGCGTCGGGACACCAAAGCACACTGCCCAGGAGCTGCCCAGGGCCACTCCAAAAAGGTGGCTGCAGGGCAAGGACAAGGGCAGGTGTCCCGAGGGGTCACGTGTGCCCCAAAAAAGGGGCATCTGTGGTGAAGGGCTTTCTGTGGGGGCCTGGACCTTCCCAGAGATTAGAGGGGGAGGCAAGGCCAGGCAGACGCTGAGGGCTGGGCTGTGTGGCCACAGCCTTGCTCCTCAGCCTCTCTGAGCTGGCCTCCTGCTCTGCATAGTGGCTGTGATCGCAGAGCCTCCTTCACGGGCTGTTTGAGGACAGCCGTGTTGATGTGATGCACCTGGGGCCTGGCACACGGTAAGCGCTCCCGTGTGTCCTCCTGTTGGCAGGTCTTCCCTTTTTTTTTTTAGTGTTTATTTATTTTTGAGAGAGAGAGAGACACGCACACACAGCGTGTGAGCAGGGGAGGGGCAGAGAGAGAGGGAGACACAGAATCCGAAGCAGCTCCAGGCTCCGAGCTGACAGCACAGAGCCTGACGCGGGGCTCGAACTCACGGACCGGGAGATCACGACCTGAGCCGAAGTCGGAGGCTCAACTGACTGAGCCGACCCAGCAGTGTTCTTATAACAGATTTCTCCACCCTCTGAAGGTGGAGTGTCCCTACGAAACCTTCCATGAGCCAGAAGGGTGTGCAGAGAAGAGTGCCTCCCAGTTACCGGAAGTTCGCCTCGTGCCACTTCCTTGTTAGGAAAGCCCTTGTGCATCGGTAGCTGTTTTCAGTAACTGACAGAAATCCAGAGGAGTTTCACGTATGATACCTTATCGCTTAGGATTAAAACCGCTGCCTCATTCACGTAGATAATGCGTGTGTAACGCACGTAAAGCGTAAAAGCAAAGTGGCCCACGTCTTGGGGACGAGGGCCCCGGTGCTGGGGTTTGTTCGGCAGCTGTCTCTCCTGTGGGTTTTTATCTGGGCGCAGTGTCGCCTCTGGGCCCTGGCCCTCTTGCTTGCACAGGTTCTCACAAGTCAGCACGTCTGTCTGCACCGCCGGCCCCTCTGGACTCCTGCCCACGCTTGGTAGTTCCAATCCCAGCTCCCCACTTGCCGCCAGCAGGGCCGTGGCCAGTCCCTAATCTCAGTTTGGTCCTCTGTAAAATGGGCTTGCTAACAGCACGTGCTGGCTGCTGTCCTGAGGGAGTGAGGCTAGGCGAGAGGGTCCGTAGGGCCGGCGATGGTAAGGTGTGACGTGATTTTGTCCTTTTGTAGTTACTGGCCTTTGTCCCGTGGAGGAAGGAGAGACTGGGCTCTCCTGGAGGTGTCGGGGAACAAAATGGGGCACACAGGCTCCCCCAAGCCGGGCGCCCGGGTGCTCCCAGCTGCCCTGCTCTGCAGGCTGGAGCGGGGCGCCTAGCTCGGGGAATGGTGTCTGGAGCATAATTTAGCAGTGATTTGTGTTTCTCTCCGTCCGTCCTTTTAGGCAAAGGAACTTCTGCCTCTCAGGAGCCGTAGGCGGGCAGCACATACTTACTCTAGCCGGACACTGTGCTGTGGCCACTCTCCGGCCGTCCAACCTCGGAATTGGAACCCCAGACATCCAGACGGGGCGGGGAGGGGGGCTGGCTGAAGCGTCAGGATCTCGGCTCTGCACAGGTTCTCCTGAAGGCACTGCTCAGACATGATGGCCCACGCCCTGCTGCCCGGGGTGGGCCCGGAGGGCTCCGCTCATGTGGGAGCCTCAGGGAGGTGGGCTGGAAGCCTAGCTGGTCTCTGCATGACGGTACAACCCCACCTTCTCTTCTCCGCAGCCCCCTGCCCCCTCCCCGTCTGCCTGGACTCACCCCCGGGGAACCCGATTCTGAGCCTGACTCTGGCCCTCGCGGAAGCTCATTCCCATCTCCCCCAGGCTGGGCCGTGAGGCAGGGTGCGGAGGGAGGCAGCCCTCGCCGGCTGCTCCGGCCCTGGTCACTACATGATTCACTCTGGTCAAAGCCTTCCAGGCAGCCAGAGTGGTGATGATCTGTGACGGCTGGAGGGGCAGGCCAGGGGCCAGACTTCTGGTCTCCCAGTTACGAGAGGAGAGATCTTGAACCCTGTTTCACAACCTTGCCTCACTCGGGCTTAGGAAAGTGGCTGTTGCTCCATTTCCTGGATTGTGCAAGGCCGGGGCCCACAGCCCGCACCTTCCTGGGAAGCAGTGACTGTGCCTTCCTGTACCTGCTCTGAAGCCCTTGCTGTCCGGGAAGGTGGGTGATGCCAAAGCCCCCTCCCGTCTTAACTCCCGTCTTGAGTAATCAGGACATCAGTAAACAAACGGAACACGGGCTCGCTGTCTGCGTTCACACCAGGGATGCGGGGACACGGCGCTTTACTTGTTCCAGAAATATTTACCAAGTGGTGCTGCCTGCGGCTGGGGAGGCGGCGGTAAGACAGACAGACAGACAGACAGACAGATGGGCCTCCCTCAGGGCCTGCCCCTGTGTTTGGGGAGACAGGAAGTTCACATCAGATGATGATCAGGGCTGTGAATATGTACCCCAGAGGAAGGATGCTCGATTGTGTGTGTGGTGGTGGTGGTGGGGGGGGGGTGATAACCCTCTGGTTATTCCCCAGTTCCAAATGCATAATTGGAGCAGACATACTCAGGAGCTGGGAGCATCCCCACGTTGCAAGGATTGGAGCCTGCAGGTGTGAGGACAAAAGGGCAAAGGTGGTGGATGAGGGATGAGGTTAGAATGGCTGGCGGGGTGGGCGGCGGGAAGGACGGCCAGTGATACTGCTGGTCTGTCTGGTCTGCTCATTCCTTGGGAATGGGACTCTGCCCCTTCCCTGATCCCCAGCCACAGGCTAGGGGTCCCTGCTCTGGCGGTGGTGGGTTGGGGGTGGGGGGTCCCTGCACTGGCCTGTGCAGGTGCTGCGGGCTCACTGTGTGACCTTGGGCAGAGTACTTAACCTTCCTCTGTGGAGCCCAGCCTGTCTCCTGGGTGGGGCTGTGGCAGGGGGTGTCGCAGCTGTGCGGGTTCTGAGTGTATGTCACCCTGTGGGGTTAGATCTCTCAGACGCCAGCTTGGTCACTGGGTCGTCTGTGCAGAGGGAGTTGTGCAATGGGAGGGGTCAGCACTGACAAAAAGCACCAGGGAGGACCATGCTGAAGAACCCCATTCGGGAGAGTGGCAGCCTCCTTCTCTAGAAAACATCTCCGTCTCTGCCCTGCTGGGGGGCCAGTAGTGACTGCACCTGTTAGAAAACTGCCTCCTGGGACCGCACAGGGTGTGCCCTTCACCCCACGACTTCAGTCCTATCTCTGCCAGACTTCTCCCTGCATGGACCCCTCTGTGTCCCTAGTTGGGGCTGTCCCAGTCACCTGGGATCATCATCGGCCCTGGGGCACTGCCTAGCACAGCCTGTGATCCATACACTCGGAGGCTAGCGGCCAGTCTTGGCCAAGGGCAAGCCCACGGTAGGTGAGCAGTGACTGAATGCTCAGTGTGCTTCTATAGGCAACATCACCCTGAGTATCTTCTTCACCCTGGTGGGGCAGGGCAGGAACAGGAGGCTTGGAGACTCGGGAGACTTGCCTCAGGCCTCGGGCTCTCTCTGCCCACACTGTCTCTTTCCTCTTTTCTATGCCCCAAATGAGGAACAGTGGCCCTGGGAACATGGTGACCATCTTTTGAGCACAGTCTGAAGGCAGCAAGCATGTTGAAGGGGCCTAGCAGTGGGGAGGCAGCTAGCTGAGTGGTCAGAGGGAATCTCCAGGCCCAGGGCTAGGGCGGACCTCGGGCTTTGCTTACCTCTCCCGGCACCCCTGGCTCAGCAGGTCCCTGAGTAAACTTGGCCCAGGACCAGGCTGGCCTCCTGCAAATTGGGTGGATGTGTCCAGGACATGCCCCTGGGGCTGCTTCTCGGGGGCCAGATCTCCAGCAGGACAGGCCGGAGGGCCTGCCGGAGCCTGGGTGAGGCTGGTAGGGACGCTGTGAGGGACAGTACCTGACTGCCTGCACTCCACGGGCCCCATACAGGTTCACTGGGGGTGGGAAGGGCTGGAAGCAGGGTCCTTGGAGGGGTGGAGGAAGAAGGGTGGTCCCCTTTCATCAGGAGCCTGGAAAAAGATGGCTATGGGCAGAACCTGTCTGCCAGGGGCTGGGGTGGGAGCGAGTTGTCTCTTGTGGAAACACAGACCCCCCCCCACCTCCTTCTTCTTGCTGGGTTACACCATAACCTTTGGCCTGCAGCCCTACTTCCTCCTGAGAAACAAAAGACGTTTTGAGAACCCAGCTCCCTCCCTCTCCCTCCAGCGCCCCCTCCCTTGCCAAGTGGACCCTCCAGGGCACAGCCTTGCAGACAAGTGTTCTGTTCAGGGGCAGACGGCTCCCCATGCTCTGTCAACACCAGTCAACAGCGGCCGGCAGGCCCGTGCACGCGGGGGCACTCAGGGCAAGGGAGGAAGTGGTATGTGTCTGGGATCCCGCTGATCCCCTGTAGGGGCCCGCGGCCCGGCTCAGGAGACGCTGGCAGGGTGCGTGAGTGACCCAACCGTGCTTGGGACTTGTGCTCACTCACGGCTTTCGTTTTCTCTGGGTGACAAGTGCCAGGGAGAGCCGTGACCTTGGTGGGGGTGCGGCCGATTCGTAGGTCCCAGGAACCCTGTGACTCCGTGCACGAATGTGGGCTGGGCAGGCAAGTGGGAGGGGGCGCCCAGAGAGGACGGTGGAGGTCACCGCCAAGCCAGCGTCCGGGTCCCCACCCTCATACGAGGTCCTGGTAGGGGACGTAACGCGATGAACCCCTTCGGAGGCCACCAGTTAGCGAGCGGCGCAGGGACTGTGTGCAGCACCCACGGGCAGGGGGCGAGCTCGCTCCCCGGTCTGAGAGGCCCTGCAGTTCCCCGAGGCGCCGCCAGGGGCGCAGCAGCGGCACCTCCGACGGCGAGGGCTGATCCCGCCCCCTCCAGGGACCCCGTGACCCAGCGGTGCTCGGTGGTGAGCGCCGGCGTCCTCCAGCCCGCTCGGCCACGCCGGCCCAGCCTGCCAGTACCCGGAACACAGGTAACTGAGGCCTCCTGGCGTCCGACGGTGCGAGGGCCGGCGGTGTAGGGGCCCCATTTGGTAGGCTTCTCGAAAGTGACCTGTTGCTCCCAGCCCCTTCTCCAGGGCAGCCCCGCGGGACCCCCCTGCTCCCGATGCCCTTTTCTCTTCAGCCTGCGGCCCTTCAGCGTCCTCAAGTTGCTCCTGCTGCCATCCTGGCCCACCTGGGGCACCAGGTTCTGAGGGCACCACCTTCTCGCGTCTGTGCCCACTTCTCTCCGCAATGGTGACAGCTCCTAGCTAGCCTCCCCCAACCCGTGTGATCTTCGCAAAAAACAAAAACAAAAACAAAAAAAACCCAAAAAAACAAAACCCAGAAACTTCCCTCTGTAGTTCCTGCAGGCTCTGCTGGCTCTGGTCCCACAGATCCCGTGTCTCCAGCCACCTTTCCACTCCGTGAATGAGAGTAGTGTTATTTACCGCAGCTCCCGGGCTCCTGTTAACCACACCCCTTGCACGCAGACCCTTGCACCTGGGCCTCTAGGCCAGCCACACTCCACTCTGAAACATGCCCCCGTGGTCCCACCTTCTATACTTTGCTGTTCCTTCTTTCTCACACCCTCCCCATGTGCCGGAATCCTTCTAGAAGCCTCTCCCAGTGGCTCTGCCCAGTGGCTCTCTCCTGCCCCCACGCTGCGGGAGTCCCGGGCTGGTCTCCTATATGTGTGCACAGACCGGGTCCCTGCGGTCCCCGCTTGCAGGCCTCAGCTCACCCCAGGTCAGAGAGCTCCTTCAAGTCAGTGTCCAGGGTGCACTCATCGTGTTCCCTCCCCCACGCTGAGCCCCATGGGAGAGTGCACAGAGAAGCGGCCAAGGAGTGTATGTCAAATTGCACTGCCTTCTGCTCACTCTCTAGGGGTGAGCGAGGCAAGCCGCACATCTGTGTGAGCGTGTCTGTGGTCTGGGAGATGCAGGGACCCCGGGACCACCTGTCACCTTACCCCAGCCCTAGGGTTCTGCTTACAGGAGCTCAGGGGCAGGAAGCACAGAGAAGATGGGGGGGGGGGGGGGGGGGGGGGGGGGGCTCCTGGGGGCGGACGGGGGGGGGGGGGGGGAAGGACTAAGGGTTACCTGCAGATAGGCTCCCTCCACCCCTACCCCTCACTGCCCCCCAAGGCCTGTATGCAGGCATAATTTGTTCCTCAAAAAATCACAGAGATTATCCATGCTTCAGAACCTGGGGGAACGGGAGCCCACAGGAGCCAGGGCCCTCGGTGCCCTGCACCCCCACTGTGCAGCCTGCCTGCTGCCCTGGGCTGCCCCCTCCACCTCTGACTCCAGTGGCTTTTTGTTCCCTTAGTCTAGACACTGGGTTTTTGCTGGGCCCCCATCTCTGAGCCAGGAACTCCTGGTGTGTGTCTGGAAGTGGGCGGGTGGGGAGGGCAGAGAGGCTGGAGTTGGGGAGATAGCAATGGCCAGTAGAGGTGACATGGGCAGAGTCACTGTTCTCTGAGGAGGGGGTGGAGGTCAATCTTCAAGGTCCTCTAGCAGGAGCAGGAAAGCCTGCGGCTTAGGGAGGGGGCAGATGGGAAAGGGGAGGAGTTTGAGGCACCGGTCCCAAGCTGCTCTGCCCTGGCATCTGGGTTCTGACTCTCCCTTGAAGGCCAAGTGCAACAAGCCCGGCTGTCTGTCTGGCCAACTGTGGTGATGGGGTGCTTCCCCTGGAAATGAGGGGTTGGGGGGGGCGGCTGTCTGTGGGTGTCCTGTCCACTGGCCAGGCTGGACTTGCTTCTGGGTGGCGCGTGGGGAGATGCAGGCTGGGGACCGGTGGGCGAGCCTCTGAACCCCCAATCGTGCACACACATACACCCCACAATCCCACAGGGGCCTGTGCCTCTGCGGAGCTTGGGGTTCCTTAGCCTGCGTCAGATTCCTGGCTCCCAATGGAAGGTGCTCACAGCCACCTTCTGGCCCATGGGGGGCCCCGCCAGGGCACAGTGCCCTGCTGTGGGGCCATTAGATGAGGCCCAGCCCTCCCCATGCTGCTGGGGGGCTTCTGGGTCCAGAGGCCTGGCTTGGGGCTGTGAAGCTGGAGGTCGTGGGGATGGTGTGGGGGCAGAAACAGCCTTGTTTCTTTTTCTTTTTCTTTTCTTTTTTTTTTAATGTTTGTTTATTTTGAGAGGGAGCGAGAGCGAGAGCCCAAGCAGGGGAGGGGCAGAGCGAAATAGAGACCGAGAATCTCACGCAGGTTAAGGGAACAGAGACAGAGAATCTCCCGGTCAAGGGAGCCTTTTCATGTGTCCCTCCGGACCCTGGGAATCTTGTCTGCCCTGGCAAACCCTTCTGTGCCACGTTGCCCTAGGCGGAGCTGGTCACCAGGAACAAGGCCCTGGGTTCTGGCCAGCCAGGCCCCCGAAAGTCTTTCCTCTCCAGTCTCGTCCAAGAAGGATGAATAGTGAGTACGCTGTCCCATGCCCACTGCCACCTCACCACAAAGAGTTTAGGAGGTAGACACCCAGAGGGATGGGGCCAGTGTCCGCGTTGTTTGATAACGTAGGAAAGTGAGGTTCAGAGAGACTTGACGCCTTACTTGCCAAGGTCACCTGCTAGGAGGGGGCAGGTGCTCCTGCCCCACCTCGTTGCCTACCAGGGTGAACTGGGAACAGTGGAGTCCGGGGGTGGGTGGGCTCGGTGGGTAGACATCTCTGAGGGGTCCCTTTCCAGGAGAAAACCGCATCCTCTCTGTGCGCAGGCAAATCCGGCATCTGAAGCAGAACAACCCCACACAAATCAAGGACAGCTGGGCCTGCCCTTGGCCGCAGCCCCCTCCCCTCGGCCCCCCTTGCAGGCTCCAGGACCCCCGCAGACTGCGGGAGTCGGGCGAGGGGGTAAGGGTGTGGTTCTAGCGAAGGGAGTTCTGGAAGCCCCGCATGTGTGAAATCTCCCCCAGCTGTCCCCCGTGGAGGGAGGGACCGCACGGTGTTAGGGATCACTTTCCAGAGTGGGGCAGCTGCTGACGCACCCTGCTTGTGGGGGCCCACGCTGGGGGTGCCCGCCCTGGGGAGGGGACAGTCTGCGAAAGAGGAAGGGAGGAGCCCGGGGGCGGGGCGCGCACATAGACTCCGTCACTCACACACTCTCTCACTCACACAGCCAGGCCACTCAGTCACTCGACAAACATTCATGAGTGCTCACCGTGGTCAAGACTGACCCCGTCCCCGCCCTTGCCGCGCTCACGGGGAGGTGGAGACAGATGGGGTCCAAAATCACCCACCAAGGGAGTAATTACAGTCAGTGGAGGGGACTCAGATATAGCTGGGCAGCTGGGTCATGGGTCTGTGAGGCCAGGCTGGGCCCTCCTCTTGCCGTGACCTCGCTCCCCAGGCCTCTTCCCTGGACTCGCCCCTGTGTCCCCCTCTGCTCTGACCTTCCCTGTCGTCTCCTCCAGGGACGCTGTTTACTAGCGGGCCGCAGCTCGGGCCACTCTTCCCCAGTGCTGCCTCCTCCCAGCCAGCTAGCACAGCAGACCTGACTACCTCAATGTCTGATGGTTGGCCTAAGGAGGATGGACAGACGGACCTCTGCCTGGCCATCCTGCCTGGGCAGGGGGTCCAGTCTGGGCAAGGGGGGATTGAGCCATGTTGGACCCTGAAGGCCAAGGGGCCCTCCGAGGAGATCCAGCTGGCAGAGAAGCTGGCTGATGCATTTCTTCTTCACGGTGGAGGTGAGACCGGACAGGGCGGGAGGTGAGCGAGCCTCTCAGGGTGCAGGGACAGCTACAGGACTGGTGCTCCCATGGCCTGGTTTCTTTCGACTCACTTCCTGCCATGTGGCTCAGAGCGGGGGATCCACTGTGTCTAGACCACACAGAGAGGTGCCAATGGAGAGCTGGGGCTGGACCCTGATGGCAAGGTAGGGCGGAGGCAGATCGGAGGGGCCACTCCGACATCCTGGGCAGGAGGGAAGGCGGCAACCCCCATGTGTGAGGAGGCTTGCCTGACCATCACTTCCTCCAGAAAGCCTTCCCTGACCTCTTCCTCCACTCACAGCCTTCCACTAGCCGGTCATTGTCAAGTGCCTATTTGGTGCCAGTCTCTGTTAGGTGCTAGGGACCCCCCAGTGAGCAAATGTCCCAAGGCTGCCTTCCTGGGTGTCCCCAGATTTGCCCCCACCTGTCACTTGATGGATGGTGGCTGGAGGGAGGGGCTCAGCTAGGAAATTATCCTTGTCCCCGGACTCCATTCCCCAGCCCCCAGCATGTCCTCCTGTCGTTGATAAGTTGCTTCTGGAAAATCCTCAAGCAGGTGTGTGTGTCAGAGGTTGGGGGGCTGAGGAAAAGCCATTCTCAGTAGGAGGAACAGCATGAGCCAAGGCTGGGAGGAGGAAGCCACTCTCTCTGTGCCAGGGCCGGGGGACAGAGGGGCCGCCAGGGTCGAATGCTGGAATCTGGAGCCCTGAGAGGGGCCTGCTGAGACTGTGAGTGGGTGCTCCAGGTGGAGCAGGGCCCCACCCAGGACAGGTCTAAGGAGAACCAGTCTGTCTGGAACAGATCCCCTTTTAAGCTAGACCAGAAGAAGAACTTCCTGTGACCCTGTGTGTATCAACATGCACCCCAGACAGTACTGTGCCAACGACCCGCCTACAGGGCTCCTGGCTGAGTCTTGCCCTGACAAGCAGGTGCAGGCCTGTGTCTGGGTCCGGGCTGGGGCCCTGATCAGCGGCCTTCATGCCACTGGCTCTGCAGAGCCCCCTTAGTTCAGGGCTGCCTCTAGGTGGGAGACCTGGAAATGCCTGTGGGTCACAGAGGCCCCTGGCCTTTGGAGAGGCCCCAGGTTTCTGGGACTTGCCCAGATGCCATTGGTCCCAGAAACAAGCAGAACCCAGGGCAGTGGCCTCTGAGCAGCTAGTGAGAGGTCAGCCTCTCCTAGGAGCCCATGCCCATGGGGCACCAAGCTTCAGTGAGGAAGCCCTGGGCAGAGACATAGAGAGGACACCGTTCCTTTTCCGTCTCTCCCTGGGACTGTTGCTCCTGGAGCCCCTTCCTTCTCTGCTTTCCTTGTGCTGTGTGGGGGGTTCAGTGAACCTGGGGCTGCATAAACTCCCCACAGAGTGTCCAGCACCCAGCAGGTCCCGTAACTGTGAGCGGCCCCTGGCCCCTGAATGTCACTGCCCCTCAGCAGGAGCTCCTAAGATAGAACCCGGGCTCCTCCTTCCGGTCTCCCATCCCACCTCTCCAGAAGCTTCTCATCTTCAGGAGTCACTTTGCCAGCATTAGAGATGGGTCCCTGACATCCCAGGGCAACGCCAGGTGGACTGGGCTGCAGAGACAGACGGTGTGACATGGTAGAAAGGGTCAGGAGACAGATCTGAATGGGGCCTTGGGACAGACGCCTGTCGTCCCTGAGCCTGCTTCCCAGGACCCTAAAATGGTAATCGTATTGGACAACCGTCTCCGGCCGTCAGGGTTGGGACCCTGATGAATGGCAAGCCAACTGTCAGGAAAGCGCGCCCCATTCTCCCCCTCAGACTTCCCTCAACATTCCCGGGAACGCCTCGGCGCAGTAGGGCCCGGGTCCACACTCACCCGCGCACCTGCTGCTACGCCCTTGTCCGGGAGGGACTGGGATCCGCCTTCTAAGAGCCGGTCCTTCATCTCAGTCTTGTCACTGCCCTGAGACCCGACCCGTCGCCGCAGCATCCAGGCGCGCAATGGTGATGACCCCGAAGCCTCGCAGGCTGGAGCCTAGGTCTCCAAGAGGGCGCGACAGGTAACCTCTGGGGCTCCAAATCACGCCTCAGCCTCGGCGGGCGCCTGCGAGTCCCGGGCCCGGGAGTGGTCCAGGGGGCGGGGCCCCCGGACTGGGCGGGGCCTCCGGGTCCCGCCCCCGCGTCGGCTTCGAGCCGGCCGAGTAGCGGGGCGCAGAGCAGAAGCCCGGCGCGGGCTGGCTGAGCGCGGCACGGGCCGGGATGCGCTCGCTCCTGTAGCCCGCGTTCCACCGTCTGGGCGCAGCACCACCCTATGGCAGGTAGCGGCGGCCTGGGCGGCGGGGCCGGGGGCGGCCAGGGCGCGG